ACGTTTTCAGTCTCTTTTTTGTTACATGTTTTTGAAAAACAATTCCTAAAATTTCCTTAATTTTTTTTTTGTATGTTAAAAAAAGGAAACCCCAATAAAAAATTCTGAAAATATTTTAAAAAATTTATTTTTACTAATATTGAAGGTTAAAATTGGGTTATGAAAATATCAAAGGTTGTTGGGAGAAAAAAAATATGTGTATAAAAATTATTGGGACATTCTCAATTTCAAACTGAGTCAATTTAGCAAATTTCTCATTTCTTATATTATTGTGGTTTTAAGATTAAAAAGAAATTTAGGATCTTTGTTTCCATAAAGCTCATACAATCTAAATATATTGTTTTTTAATACTGATTTATTATTAATTCTATTTTAAGTTACAAGAATTGTTACATTATTCTACAACAAATAATGTTATCGCTTCTTGGCATTCTAAATGTATTACGATGAAAATTTCATGTGTAAGTTTGTCTGTATTAACATGCATAAATGATTGTAAATGGCATTTTTTTTCATTGTCAAATCGGTTTATATAAGCCTTGCCAAATCGGTTTTGATCGTTACATTTAGTAAAACTCAAAATCAAATCGAAAAACTGAGTGTCTTTCCTTACTCATTGTTGTTATCTATCACCTTTGGTTCTTCCTGTTTTACATCATTTGTTGAATCAGTAACCACGGCTCTGTACACATAAAACTTAACCACGACCAAGAAAAAGACGAAGTTGATCAAATTAAGACCCGCGAAGAACATGTAATAGTAATCCAACCGCGACTCATTCAAGTTGTTTAAAATCCATCCTCTTCCTCGTTTCTTCGTTATTCCAGACACTGTCGAAAGCAAGAAACTGCTCATGAAATTCCCGACCGCTAAACTCGTGCTAAAATACGATGTTCCGAGGCTTTTCATACTCTCGGGTGCTTGATCGTAGAAAAACTCAAGCTTTCCTACTTCTAAAAACGTATCAGCCAAACCCATTAGCACAAACTGCGGAAGCAACACGAAAATAGTCAAGGGAAGCGGTACATCGGTCTGGTGGATTAGCCCGTGTTTAGTAGCCAAATTAAGCCTAAACCGTTCGGTTATTGATGCACTGATCATGACTAGGATGTGAAGGATCAAACCGATTCCCATTCTTTGAAGCATTGTGATGCCTCTTGGATTTCTGGTTAGTTTTCTTGAGAGGTTAACGAAGATACGATCATATATCACTATTGATACGATCATTGAGAAGGTTGTGAAGCCTGTGAGACTTGCGGGCGGGATGCTGAAATTGTAGGTGAGATGACGGTTGAGAGTGGTTCCTTGTTTGATGAATAGAGTGTTGACTTGAGCAAACATAATGGCAGGGACGAATGTTACGAAGAGGACAGGTAACATTCTTAGCATCTGTTTTGTTTCTTCGACTTCTGTGATAGTGCAGAGACTCCATTTATTGGTTGGTCCAGTTTTGAGTGAAGCTCTGTCTAAGAATCTGCAACACATAGTAACATCTTATAGGTAAATATGATAGATATTTACGAAACCAAACCAAACTAAAGTGAAATATAAGTTGTGAGTACATAAACCAAAGTTAATCAGACGTCCAAAACTCCGAAAAAAGTTCTAACTCGTATAGAGTTGAGAAAATGTTAAATAAAAATCCAAAAAGATTGAATCGAATCGAACCAAATTAGTGTTCATTACCTTAGACTTTGAGTAGGACGGATTGGGAATGCACATTTGCTCTCATATTCCAATGAAGAGAGCTCATGGAAACGGGTGGGATCACGCGACATATCTGCATGAGCTTTGCGAAATGAAGCCACAATGACTCGAGTCATTTTGGTAAATGGGCTTCCCGTTGGGAGTTTATGTCGATAAAACGGAGTGCCTACCAAGAATATGACAATGGAAATAGCAAGGCCTATTGTTGGAAGCCCATAGCCTAAGGTCCATCCTACATTATCTTGAACATAGACCAGAACAGTTGAGGCAAAGAGAGCACCAAAGAAGATACTAAACATCCACCAATTGAAGAATGAATGTTTATGATACTTCTCCTTTGGGTCGAATTCATCGAACTGATCGGCTCCAATTGTAGAAATGTTCGGTTTTGTACCGCCTGTTCCAATCGCTAATGTGTATAAAGCTCCAAAGAAAACCGCTAATTGTAAAACCGAAGCCTTTTTGCAGTCTTCAACATTAGCCATCGTACATTTAGGTGGTCTAAGTGCCGGTAGGGATACTGATAATGTCAACAGTCCCATACCCTGTGGATTATATAAAACTAAACCGGTCAAATGTCTACCAATGTAATGTTAATTCTTAATACACATAATTCAATCAAAATATTCGATTGAATAAATCTAGCTCATAAAGTCTAAAAATATTAATCAGTTGTTTGATAAACCCACTTAGATAAGATGTGTTTAACGTTTTTTATTTTCTTCTCAATATTTTTGACACATCATGAAAAAAGATTTCTATATCAATTTTTGTTCATTAAGTAATCATCCCAAATAAAAAATAACCAGCCTAGAAAACATGGTTCATATGTTTTCAAATGTAGAACCATAAATAATTCCAATAACTANAAGTAGANTATTCCAAAAACTAAACNTTCAGATGTCTAGATG